TATTAAGTTATAAATAAAAATAGGTGCATAATAAATCTTAAGTAAATTACTGTCATGGGACCTTCCATGCCTTATTCATCACCCATGCCAGAGTTTTATAATGTGTTAGCCCAAGCAATTATTTAAATAGAATACGGGAATAAGTAGAGTAGGGGGGCTTTCCTCCTTCCCCCTTCCCCATCACTTTATTCTTTTGAGGAAAGATCTTTCTTTCATTATATCAGTATTATCATATTTTATATCAATTACAATTGAAAAACAAAGAAAAAAAAAAAACTGGAAAGTTCAAGGACTTTCCTTCCAGACCAGTATTTTACCACTTCCTTTAAGGCATATGGCCAAAATGCCTGCCTTTTTATTCAAGGCAACATCTTTAGCTAGAATAAAAATCCATCCTTGGCATTCACCTGATGAACAGGGCATCAACTAGGGTATTTCTGTGGAAGTATATATGGAAGTATAAGTCGCAATCCATTTTTAATTTCAACAATTTATCTTGACTACCTTCTGAATATTAATGGTCTTCTAACATGTTTGTGTTACATCTTTTTTCTACCTTTACTTTAGGGCAGGCTTTACTTTTGCTTTTCCACAACTAGAATAGAAACTAATGTCAAATAGAAACTAATGTCATGTCACCATTGCCTTTTTTTTTTTTTTTTTGAAATATATAGGTGAGACTTTTATAACTTCAGTTCAAATATCCTATATGGAAGTTATGTATATGCATGTGTTCTGAAATATTTCAAATTTACCCAGAATACAAGTGTTTGCCTTACAACAAGCAGCAGCTGCAAAAGTTTAGAAACCCTTTCTTTTACAAAATAAATATAAGCATTTTTAACTGTGGAGGATATCATATGGGTAAATATGGAAAAAACTGCTGTTTCAGAATTATGTACAAATTACCCCATATTCTTTTTCTCACTGGATCATTATTCAGAACTTTGGCATATCATAGATTTCTTTCTAAGGATAACTTTAATTATTTTTCTAGTGAGTAAATCAGCTTCGTAGAACAGATTCCTGACAAGAATGAGCATGAAAAAACATGTACAAGAACAATACAAATATACTGATCTCACAAATATCAAATGTGTTGGTGCACCCTCACCAATCAGGCTTATCACTTGACTCCCATCCACCTGGTCTTCCCTTCACAATTGCTTTTTTATTTAATATTTTTCAAACCATAAAATCTGATAATAAACTCACTGTCCTCTCTGGCCCAATTTAAAGTATTTACCAGAGGATCAATTACCTACTCATTTCTGCTAGGATAGAAAGATGATTTCTTGAGAAATTGCTTTTCATTAGAAATAGATATTAAAACATTTGACAATGAGGCCAGAAATGCAGCCTGAAATAAATTAGATGCTATACTCAAAGCATCTAAGAGCAACAGCAAAGATGCTATTCAGTTCCTTCCCTCCACCCCCAGGACAGGACCTGTATTGCTCTCTGGATATCAAAAGCATAGTATTAGTCCACTGCTAACAAGGCCTGGGAATGAATGGCACCTGGGATTAACAGTGGGAGGCACGAAACAACTGCAGTGCAGTGAAAAGCTAAGGAAACAGATGGCTGACTGGGACCAAAGATATTTCTTTAATCAGAACCGTACTGATATCAAACTGATACTGC